CCACAATTCAGAACCATTGACCCGGATACGCCTGATATGATTACATCTTCTGTGGGCATTGGCAAGTCTATGAAAGAATTTTGTATTTCGATCCCCATCTTTTAACCACAAAGCCCGAGACTTCTGGCACCACGAAATCTCCTCCATATGAGCAATCTCAGCAAAAACCGCTTGGCAAGAGGCTCTTTTAGAGCGTAAAGATTCCCCACTCTGCCCCACCTCGTCAAGACGATCAAGCTCAGCAATATCAGCAAGAACTCTATTCTTCTTCCATTCAAGATTCCCAAACACTTATTTATTCCACCTCTTTAACTCAGTTTTAAGAAACTGAAACTTTCTAGCTAACACATAACTAGTAGAGCCTGTTGAAATTTGCTCTCTCCTACCAAGATTGAACCTTCCCTTGAAAGCCCTCGGATCTAAGCCACATGTTTTCAAACGGAAAGGAGTGCGTCTAGAACTTAAGCCACCACAATCTAAAACAAGAGGCACATGATTAGATGTGACTCTAACCAATATTGCCTGAGAGACATCCGGAAAATGCTCTTCCCACGCCCCAGAAACCAGGAATCTATCCAACCGGGAAAAAGTAACCGGTTCCCTACCATTTGACCAAGTAAAGGCCACTCCTTCCAATGGAATATCAATAAGGAAATGACCATAAATCCTTCACATAACAAAGCTCTTCCCACAGGACTGGTTTATCACTATCAGTAACAGGCCCATAAACACCTGAAAACACCCACCTGAAATTATCTTCCTCCATCTGAAACATACAAGACATAGAGAAAATACCCTTCCAACAATTCAGACTTGACAACCATCTTCGATCCCACATGGGTAAAATACCACCTGAAGTGCTTGTTGCATTTAACACTTCCCAGTCCACAAACCTACCTCCCCAAAGACTCCTGACAATCTCAACAGTAATATCAGCCATTAATTTCCTGTAAACAGACAACATAAGCACTCCACTTCCTCAAAGCTACCTTGACAACTTTCGTCTTTTCGGATCATTAAGACCACGAACATTCCATGTTATAAGTCGTAGCTTCATTAAGAACCAAAAACAATCAATTCTCCTCCTCCTCCCCATTTACCACTTCTGGTTCTTCCCCTTTCTTTGGTCGTCCCATTCTTCCTGTCATAATTAACCCAAGAAATCAGATTCTTCATTTCATATTCGCCTTTTTGATGTGAATTTCTGGCTTTGACTTCTTTTGTGTCACGATTTGGTTCAGTACTACCATTTCCTGCAACAATTTCGTGAAGAATAGACAAGGTTTGTTCCTCATAACCTTCTGCAGAGACACCCAAAGCTTCGCTTACTACTCCAATATTCTCAATAACCCATTCCATACCCAGATCATTGGTCGTCTCCAAACAATCAGGCCGCACAACTGCCAAAGGTTCCATTAAATCCACTTTAGCATGATCAAAGTTTGTCCCGGAAAAAGAATCATTAGAACAGTGCTGTTGAGAAGGAACATCAACCAATCCTAACTGCAAATTCCCCTTTGTTTCCGAAGCATCAACTTCTTTGGGTGGGGTTGGCAAAGTCTCCTCATGCTCAGATGATAAACTGTTCAAACCTTCAACTACAGCAAAGAGCCGAAGCTCTTTAAGCAAAGCTACAGCTGATTCATTATTCAATTTGAAATGCAGATCTTTCCCAACGCAAACTGTCACTCCATTGAAAAAATCGTTGTGACCTTTGAGACATCCAACTCTGACCCATCACACCATGAACTTGAATTCTCAATAATACTTCTCTGTTGATTCGATACATCCTCCACAACATTCCTGTTACTTATCTCTCCACCCGAAGAAGAAGAAGTAGAGGTAGAGAAAGCGTTTAGAGAAAGATTAGAACACAAACCTGGAGAAGAAGTGTGAGATCGTGCAACCCATTTTTGTTTTTCTGTCCAAGTCCACTGAGATCCATGGCGACCGACGTTCATCGTTATCCTCTCGGGTTTCAACAAATGAGTTGAAGGCTTAGCATGGGCTTGTGATTCTTTAGGGCCAGGTTTAGTATTTGGAAAAAAGATAAATAAGGAATTAGGCCCTTTTCGTACCCTTCTATTAGGCCCAACCTGAAGTTGCCCACTTTGACCAAATCTAAGTGGCCCTTTCTGTATCCGTCGATTAGGCCCAAAACCCAAATTCGCTCTGTTGGGTTTTGGTTGAATGAGACAAAGATTGAAACCAGGCCAGCCTTCCTGGCCTGTCTTGACTTCTTATGGACCAACACTCCGCCTTTCTCAGCCCGAATGAAATCCTCCCCTACTTTATCATCAAAAGATCAGATTTGGCTAACGGTCAACCATTACCACCCTGTATGAACTACTTTATCATCAAAAGATCAAATCCTCCGGGGACAGATCTCCCTAACGGTCAACCATTACCACCCTGTACGACCTACTTGCCTTGACTTTTATACCCGAAAAGCGCCTCTAAGGTCTACCTTTTAGCCCTATGAAACAAAAAGGAGAGTTGGTCCTTGTGATGTGAAAGGGCGACTAATAAGGAGCGTGCTCACAAAAGGAAGCTTAGCGAACGACTGAAAGGATAGACGCCTGCCGGCGATTCTTCATAAAGAGATTCTACGCCCATTCAACGAGAGAATTCCGAATTACACCTATCATTTACGAGTGAATATTACACCAAGAATTTACAAGCTTATGAGTCCCTCTTTTCACATTCCAAGCTCTAATTTCCAAACTTACACCCAGGAAGCTTGATCCAAAGCAGTGCCTTTTCACTTCTGTACTTTCTCGTCAAGAGCAGAGCGAGATGCCCAGCTTTGCTTGTTTTGTTACGTTGGGTGGAACTCGTGCCTTCAGAATTGAAAAATGGCTTTATCCTTAAGGGGCATCCCGTCTGTCCCCACGTGTACACCAGCGTTGCTCATCAACGATGTGTTGGGCCGGCGCGTGAAACTCACTTTGTGGTCTACCTCCAATAAACTTCACTGCTTGCTGGATTTCGCGATCCTTCAGCCACTGCTGAATTTCAAGAATCCCTTCTTTTCCTTTACTAAGTATCTCGTTCCATTTCTCTTCCGACATAAGATGAGATCCATCACTGCCTTCAAGGCTCTCCGTTGAGGGAACAAGCTCCGGCGAAATTTCTTCCCAAATAGCGACCTTGTATGCTACCCAACTTGGTTACTTGGGTGACTTATTCTTCGACAGACCAGATGTATAAAGCTTGATTATTATTTAGAAATCTTTACATGTCAACAACAAGTGTATAAATCTTTAAACTTATTTTAAGGGTATACTTGTCTTTTGGATTTTCTGGCTCCAACAATTGACCTGGTGGATTTAATTGCAACAAAATTAAAGTTCAAGGGTTTTTTTTGGTAGTTTAGGGGGTAAGTTGCAAAAGCCCCATAGTTCAGGGGGGTTTTATGCACTTTTCCCTATATTTTGGGTTCAAGTTACTATCTTCAATTCTTTTTCCTCTCAGCTTACGATCTCTCGTTTTCAGTGTTTTAGGAGGAATTTTGTTGGTTGGAGGACTTTACAGTGTATTGTGGGGAAGAATAAAGAGCAAAAGATGGATGATGATGGCATTTGTTTAACAGGTGATGAAGCTGAGAAAGAATGTTCAGAATCAAAAGGAGTAATGGAAACCAAGAGTACCTCACAAATGTTGGTATAGAATAAACATTTTTTTTGTGTTACACGCAATTGCTAATTCCAAGCCCCTTCAGTGGCATGAGAATTTATAGAAGATGTACAATAAATTATTAGATAGTTCTTAACTATGTGGTTCAATCTAATTAAACGATTATTTGTTAAGAAAAGTGAACCAATAAGAGTTCATAAGACACTACTATAAAAAGTCCTACAATTTAGGAGTATTTAATAATTTCTTGAAGAGATAGGATAGTTTCTAGGGGTATAAATGTTGTTAGGGTAGTTTCTAGGGGTATAAAGGACTTTTTATGGTTCATCATAGATGCATACTTATGTCTAAGTGGATATTCGCAGTCAAATTGTTCTGGCCAATTAATATTTGATATATAATCGACTTTTACATATGATATTATAGACCAGTTGAGTAGATGCAATACTAACAAGTGTTTTGTCTTTTTATTTTTTTATTTTTAATTTTTTTTTGTGGCAAACTACATATAAGCGATTTTTAAAAGGAGGTAGTATGAGTAAAGATAAAGTGCCTCACGATGTGGCGAGCAATTTCTAGTTCAACTAGACATTATTAAATTTTTTGTTATTTTTACTTTTGTTTTATAATATTTGATAATTATAAAAAATGTGAGCTTTTTACATTTCAGGAATGAGAGAGAGACTTTTTTAAACACCCTCGTGAATATTTTCAAAATATGAAAAATCATTGTCGGCAGAAAACTGAGTTAAAACAATGTATGAAAATTTTCTTTAATTTGTACTTCTTTCAAAACTCCCTTCTACTCATCTATTAATTCAATTGTGACTAAGAAAATGTAATAACTATTCTTTACCTGGCCTAAAAGATGATCCGGTCTAGTTATTAGGCTTCAGGTATTGAGAAATAGGCCCGAAACAGTGGGATTAAGCCCAACAAGAAAAAAGGTAGATCCAGCAAAGACTAGCAAGAAGCCCAAACAAAGTTTAAGATAAACCCAAACCCAATAGTGAGCAATTCACAAGGCCCGTTACTAAAGGCTCGCTATTAAATTCCATCTGTAGACCTTGGAGCGCTTCGCCGCCGAGCTAAACCCTAAATTAACAATTAAATTTCAAATGCTTGAGGAGTTTGAGAAGTAGGCTCATCAATGTATATCATAGCATAAAAGAAGTTTAAGCGCGCAGCTGAGACTGATATCTATTACACAATCTTTTATACTTATCCTATTCAACTTAGGAGTTAGGGATTTCGGAAACTTAACTAGCAAGAAATTAAGTTTATATAAAGAGCTAGAGGAGGCAGTGTAGTAGTAGTAATAAGTGCGAGAAATATTTAGCAGATCAGAGGCAGAGGCGAGAATCATGGGACGTCGTCGAATTCTTCCGGAACGTATAAGCAACAAAAAGGCTAGATATGCTTCTTTCCATAAGAGAAGAATGTGTATGGAAAAGAAGACATTTGAATTATCTACTCTATGTGGTGTTGAAGCTTGCATGGTTGTTTATGATCTCACACATGATGATGATGATCGGCAACCCTACATTTGGCCTAAAGATCCTGATGCAATTCGGCACATGTTTACATTGTACAAAAAACAACATGATGAAAATCGTAAAAAGTGGACCCTTAATTTGTCTCACTTCTTTAAAGATGACCCCAATAAGAAAAAGGAGGAGGGTGATCATCATCATCAAGGTACTACTTCTTTAGCATTTGTAAAAGTTGAGGACAAGAAAAATGATGATAATGAGACCACAAAGTACCTTGCTTGGGATGATCAATATAACAACCTGTCCGAGGAACAATTAAGAGACTTAAGTATCAAATTGAAAGAAAAGTTTGAAGCCGCCAAAACTAAGGTTCAATTCTTGAAGGATAGCTTTCTTGCTACACAAGAAAACAATTCTAATTATTTTATGCCATCAATGGAGCCTATTACTGATCATGAGCAACAACCAATTTCTTTCTTCAACCAGATTGATCATCTTGACATGCCAGCTCATTACCCACCGTTGGGTCTGGATCTCTCAATGCCAAATTCGACGATGATGATGAATGATATTGAAGATTATGACATTAATGGACTCGGTGATATAATGGACGTAAACAATGTGATCATGGAGCCTCAGATGTGCTACTACGGTGATTCCACCATGGCATTGGACATGGAATGCCATGACATGATCTCAAGCATAAAGCAGAGTTTTGAAGGACATGAATTTTCTGATTTTGGTGATGTATTTTTTTGTTAGACATTGTTATCTACAATTGTATATCAACAATTGTATGTTGTAGATGGAATTATTAAAGACAATTAAATACAAATGTTATACATGGGTTTATTTTTATTTGAATGTTGTTCAAGTTAAAGTAGTATATTCAGCTAAATTACAAACAGATTCAATCCTAATCTTTCAATGTTCTAGTAATAGAGCCTTTTCAAAAAAAATATATACATATACACAATAAATATAATTTTTAATTCGTCTTATAAATGGTCGTACACGAGCGTCGGTATATGCGTGTTTGAGAGAGAAAACGACCGCCACCACTCATCGCCTATCTTCTTGAGAGAGAAGGTTCGAAATTATATATACAATAAATATAATTTTTAATTCGTCTCATAAATGGGATATAAAAGCAAAGTCATGGAGGAATTGCATTTGCAGGGAGTTCGATCGTCTCAAGCCGGTCTGATGCAATGAAAGTTGTTTTTCGCATTTCTTCGTTCAATTCCAAACGGTACCTACTGCTCTTAATTTACTAAATTTGAACTGCAATGTTCTTTTAGTTCATTTTTGTTTTTTCCCCTTAAAAAAAAATTTGTCTAGCTTAAAAGAAGATAAGTGGCAAAGGCGGATGTAGAAAATTTACAATACTAATTTCGGCCCAGCCCAAAAAAAATAATAGATTAGCCCACCCAATCAAGCCCAAGTCAACTCAGCCACCATACTAAAATAAAGGCCCAAGCCGAATAACACAAGGACCGGCCACCCAAGGCGACCTCCTACGTAGGGCCTCAAGTTTTATGGGGCACAAAATTTATAGGCCCATGTATGATGGGCTCCAGAAAAATATACTCCGTATATATATTTTTTTAGGGCAAATCATTTCAGCCTCCCCAATCGCCTCCATCTCTATTCTCATTCTCAACTCTGAACAAGCCGTCCCTCTCTCTCTCTCGCTCTCTCTCTCTCTCTGCAACTGCAAACTACAAAATCTACAATAATCAGAAGTTCGAAACCCATATATTTCAGTTAATCTATCTGTCTGCAAGAATCAAAAGTTCAAAACCTATTACCTATATCAAAACCCATATCGGCATATCATTTCAGATTGTTCAAAAAATCAAAACCCATATCTTTCAGTTTCCATCGCCCGCTGTTCCAGTTCGGGTTCGCCGTTCGCAAGCTTCAGCCGCTGGCCCCCCTCTCTCTCTGCAACTGCTAACTTGTATGTATGGGTTTTGTTTTAATTTTTTTTCTTTCTAAATCAACTAATCAAGGTCTGTAATTCTTGTTTTGCAAACTAAATCCTATTTGGTGAAATTTTTTATGATCTTTTTTATATAATAATAATTATTATTTTTTTACAATATAAAGTAAAAAAATTTGCATTGCATTTTGAGGTAATCACCGTAATCTATATTTTATTTCAGCAAAACAATTTTTTTTTTTTTTTTTTTTTTGTGTGTGTGGTCAATTATATCTATAAGAAAATTTGAATATGGGCATGAAAAAAGAAAAAAAAAATACAATCTGAATTGGATTAGAAATCTCCAGAGATTGAATCTGAAACAATTTTTATCAACATGCCAAGCTTTTTGAAGATGCAAATCTTTTCAGAACTAAAAAAAAAAAATCATAACAAGAACTTTGACAAGCAAAAAGTACTTAAATATAGGGTAAAGCTCTAAAGTTACTTCTTGAAAATTAAAATACTTACAAAAAGCATGCTTTTGAGTGAATTCCGTAGTGTTGGAAGGGGCTTGCCATGAACTACCTCACACTCTGCTTCTCAAATAGTATTAGTAAATTGGTCAAAAGAAGAGAAAGGGTACTGAATTGTTCAGAAATAAATTGGTAATTTTTATTTTTTATTTTTTATTATTAATTACCAAAATAGGATTTTCTATGCCTTAATCAGTCAATTGTCTAAAGAAACATTGTTAGTTAACTAAAATTGAATTAAACAACAGTTGATTTTGATTGATATATTTTGATTTAGCCCAACCCATTGAGAAATCCTGGATCCGCACTACTAATAATGTTTTGTTTCACATAGAAATACAATCTGTGTAATGCAGGAAGGATATATTCAGTCTTTCTGCCATATTTTTATTTTCAAATTTTGGTTTTTGATTTTCTGAAATGATATTGATTTGTTACTAGAATGCAGAATATTAGGATATTGATTTGTTAATTTTGAAGATTATTCCTAAAATGATGCATTGTACTTTGTTATTGAACATAAGAGCTGGGTTATGTATTATATGTGCTGATCACCTATCCGTAATTACACCTCTTTCTACGGATATAGGTGTCCAACGTTTTGACTGAAAGCATAGTTGGGTTGGGTTGGGTTGACATGATACAGATAGTACTTAGATGGTGGTGTTTTAATTGTTACGAGTGAGATTGTGAAACCTTTTCCTCACAGCTTGAGTGTTTTCTTATTTTTAGGGTTAGTATCGGGCCTTAACATGTAACAAGAACAAGGTTCAAGAAACATGCCTCCTCATTCATCAGGTAACAAACTCTTACTTTTTCTACAATTTTAATTGGTATTTTTAGCTATTGGTTATGTTTATTTATTCATGTTTTACGTACTGATTTTTTGTTTTTGTTTTTGTTTTTACATACATATATATAATATTGTTATGATGTGATGCTTGAACAATTAATTAATGGGAATTAAAGACTTGGAAGTTCAGTTTTCAATTTCAGAATATATGTTTTACAAGTTTATTCACGCTTTTAAAACTTTTTATCTTTTGTCCTAATAATATAGGTCTCTATTCTAAAAGAAGAGAGTTGATGGGAATGGGCGGTGTAGGCAAAAAGAAAACAGGTATGTTTTTTTGCCTAGCTAATTGAATTATATAAATCCCCTTACCGTTGTAGTAGTGATGTTGGTTTTAAAATGACCAATTATGGTAGGAAGGCTCTTTTCAGTTTATTTTAATCAAATGTCTATCTATGCAACAGGAGTTACAGGATTACGTGATTCTAGATGAGGATGTTAATACTCTAGTGATGATGACTGATGATGTTGATAAGGATGTTAATTACATCTGTTATGTATGTTGATGCACTCAAATTAAGTTTGTTGTTTGAAAGCACTTAGAATTAAAGAAAATTTAGAGTTGAAGACATACTGAGCATAGTGTCTAATTCTTAGAATTGAAGGTAATTTAGAGTTGAAGACATACTATTGAGCATAGTGTCTAATTCTTTTAGTTACAAGAATCTTTGGTCAGTTCACACACGATTTTTCAGTTCCTGAAAATCTGAAACAATGGTGTGTAATATGATTCATCTACTTGGGCTCTCTTCTTTTTCATTTCTCTAAACCCTAATTTTACCTGTGAAAAAGAAAAAGAAGACTTTGCGCAATTTTAATTTAACTTTATTGGTTTGAGCATTCATAGAGGAAATGTTGAAATTGAAACAACAAAGACACAGAATTGGAAAGAGAGAGTCCACCAATAAGAATTACCCAACTTAGGACAAAATAAGCTCTCTGAGCCGTTACCTGTTAGTCTTGACTAATATTGGCATGGGAGATTTCTATAGATATAGGCTTATAGAGAGAGAGATATATGGAGAGAGATTGGGGGCACAAAAGTGTACGACAACTGTGAACCAACAATAGGGTTGTGAGCTTTTGGTTTGTTTAGTGCATTAGATCTCGGAAGTGTACAACAATGAAATGGAAAGCTGTGATGCACTCAAAGTTACAAACAGATACAATAATTAATATTATATATTTATAACTTACTTTACTAATCTAATATGATACTAACGTATATCATACATATATATATATGTTTGTAACTTTATACATAAACTTAGATATATTTTTATTTAGCACATCCCATTGAGAAATCCTGAATCCGCCCTTGATAAGAGGAATGCATTTCTTTACCAGGCTTAAAAGATGATCCGGTCTAGTTATTAGGGTTAAGGTGTTCAGAAATAGGCCCGAAACAACGGGATTAAGCCCAACAAGAAAAAAAAAAAAAGGTAAATCCAACAAAGCCTAACAAGAAGCCCAAACAAAGTTTAGGATAAACCCAAAACCCCAATAGTAAGCAATTCACAAGGCCCGTTACTAAAGTATCGCTATTCAATTCCATCAGCAAAACTTGGAGCACTTCGCCGCCAAACTAAACCCTAAACCCTAAATTAATAATTTTGTTTGAAAAGCTTAAGGTGTTTGAGAAATAGGCTCAACAATGTATATATGAAAGCTTAAACTTAAAACTAAAATAATAATTAATAATATATAATTTAAATTAATGTGATCAGATTTGGGATTTTGGTGTTGAGCTTAAATTTTCTTGGTGTCTTATTTTTGGGTGCGAGGTATATACGTCTTACTTGTTTTGTACTAGGAGGTATGCTATTTAATTAGCCTTGTACATGGTTTTATTGTCTATTTTTTAAAATATATTACTTATCCCTAAAAAAAATGAATTTATTGTTTGGTTTGAAATTTTAATAGCAGATTTATTTTTATTTTTTTAAAAAAAAAAAAATTAGTAACAATAAGAGGTTTATAATGTAAATTAATTGGACCTAATTAAGTAACAATCACTGGAGTGTGTCCTAATTTACTTTAAATATAAATGCACTAAAATGGTAGCTTTAGAAAACTGATATCTACTACACATTCTTCTAGCATATCACTTATACTTTCTATATTTATCCTCTTTAACTTAGGAGCTAGGGATTTCCAAAACCAAACAAACTTAACTACCAAGAAATTAAGTTTATATAAATATACTCCCTCGGGACGGAGGGAGTATATAGCTAGAGGAGGCCAGTGTAGTAGTAAGTGTGAGAAATATTTAGCAAGAGAGATAGAAAGATCAGAGGCAGAGGCGGAGTAGTGTTGAGAATCCCATAAGATGGGACGTCGAATTCTTCCAAAACGTATATGCAACAAAAAGTCTAGCTATGTTACTTTCCAGAAGAGAAGAATGTGTTTGGAAAAGAAGACCTTCTTATTATCTACTCTATGTGGTGTTGAAGTTTATGATCCCACACATGATAGGTTGATGGAAGAACCCATGTAATGTACAGATTAGAAAAACACATAAATGGCTTTAAACCATGTGATCAAGGAGACCCAATGAATTTTTTTTTTCTTTTCGTGAGAATCTTCATGCCCCAAATGTGTTTGATTGTTGAAGTTGGATGAATTCTTGTAGATATTTTGTAGACACACGTGGATTTATAAATTGAATATACATATATTTATACATGTGCGTGGGTTTGTATATATCTTCATTTACTCTTTAGTTGTATTTGAAATTATATCTCTGTTTGGATTTCCGAGTTCATTACTGCTTTTCTAACTTTATAGGTTGATGGAAGAAATTTTAATGTCAAAACGGGAAGAAGAGCAAAAGGATAATGGATATCGAGTGGACTGGTGTAGTGCCTGCAAAGGCCATTATCAGATTCAGAATGGTATCAAAGGTGTGGAATCTATATTTAGGTAGTGAGAAAATGTCAACACTTGCAACTTACTTTTTCAAAATAATGTGCGGATATTTCTCTCATATTGCTCTCAGTTCGGAGGCTCAACTCCAAGCTTCATCTTAGTGGATGCTAGTTATGGGGAACCTTGTAAGACATTAAGGTTTTTACGTCAGCCTGTGGTGATAAGAAATAGCTGCAGAGGACTAATACTCTGCCAAGGGTTTCATGAAGCACATCTTTATTACATTTGTAACCCCGCAAACCTCCAATGGCAGTTAATCCCGTTTTGGAATGTGAAAGTGGATTTAAATCTCACTACTGAACTTATTTTGGTTCATGACCCATCGAAGGTGGTTTCAAATTTCAAATTTGAAATTGTTGCTGCTGGAGCTATGACTGGACCATTGATGACTGTCAGTGTGTATTCCTCATAAACAATCCTGGAAAGCATATAACATTAAAAGATTTGGGCTTGGGAGCAAAATATATCCTGGTGCTGTCTACTTAAACAGAAAGGGGTTTATTGGAGGATTTCATCCAATAGGCTACTTTATTTTGATATTGATGAAAGAAGAAGAGGTCATGGCTTTATTGACTTGAAGTTCCCCAGTGAACAAGGCACTATAACAGAATGGGATGATAAACTTTGTTTTTTTCACTCAAAGTGTGTTGGAAAAGACTGTCTTCTCAGCATCTTCGTTGGTCCAGAAAACAACACAGATATGAGGTTGAAGTTGGAGAGGACTATAGACCTTGAAGAAGTTGGTGGTGGAATAGGTCAGCCGGTATGGGTATTGGGGGCGATAAAAGAGGGTGCCATTTACATTCTCATAGGGAAATCCCTTTATTCTTATCATGTGATGTATGGGCAGATCAATCTTATTGGCTGCCTCGGCAGGGATTTCAGTGCCAGTAATTCTTATTATCCATATATCAATTCATTGGTAAGGCTGGAGGCAGTGAAACAAGAGAAGAAGCGAAAGAATGAGCCATACAATAAGCAGTCAGGTCAATCTCCAAACAAGAAGAACAAAAACAGGAGATGAAAGAAGAACAAAAATGCAACTCCACCAAAGGTATGTCAATGAGTCCACTTTTGTTATTTTATGTCTTCCCTCTCCTTGGTAAATAAAATTGGTGTTCTTTTAAAAGCTTTCGTAATTATCATAATTCTATTATAACCTCAATTAAAAGTAGGTAGATAAGCGGGCTCCTTTCATAGGCTTCCTATGTTTCGTATGGCATTCAGTATGATATTTAATGATGCTATTTATCCAGATTGGACCGTGTTTAATGAAGCTGTTCATTTATTGTCTTTTGATGCTACTGATTTTTTCTCTCTGCCATTACTGATATAATATATACACCAACAAACACTTAGTTAACATGTACTCTATCATCACCATCACATCGAGCAAAAACCATTTCATGAACCGAGGGAACAAATATAAATCCAATCTGGTAACTATATTGATCAAATCTTATTCATTGATCAATGCTACAAAATCTAATTCACGAACCAACTCAATAAATACCAATGATTTATTTTCTCCCCTTATAGATGTTATCTAAAATCCTAATTAAAAGCTCTCTACATATTTGGAATAACACCTTATAGATGTTATCTAAAATCCTTATAATCTATTTCTGAAAAATTAAAATCCTTATAATTTGAATACTCAAATCGATCAAGGATGTCACTAATAACATTCTAATAATCCAGTTCTGGGATCCTAAAGTTTCATTGAACAGTAGATTTAATTTGGATCAAGGGCCCCAAATCCATATCCACGCACAAAAGATTCAAAATAAAGACTAAAATATTGGATAGATTGTTTGTAAAATAAGGATATCTCATGGAACCAAATGCCAAACCACCAACAAACACAGCTCCTGCTTTTAGTTGACACATTATTATATATACACTTCTAAGCATGGTATCCAGTATATCTAATCTGTAATCTGGTAACTATATTGATCAAAGCTACAAAATTCTAATTCACCAACAAATAAATAGCAATTATTTATTTATTATGTACCCTGTTATTGTGCTTGCCTGCAAAAACTGAAACCCATATACCCAGAAATCCATATATATAAAAATGCGGTCATTCAATTTTCAAAAACAAAACCAACTAAGGTGCTGTTTAATAAAGCTGAAAATTAAGCACTGGAAAATTTTAATTACTGAATTTAAAGCACTGAATGTATTAATAATAATGATCTCTCTCTCTCCCCCCCATTTTTCCATGTCCTTCATCTCATGGCTGCTTAATTTGATTAAATAATCTGTAGTTCTGCAAATTTTTATTGCCAATTTGCATTGCTTTTGACACAAATCTATTGTAAAACAGTTCTTGCTTCGACATATCTTCACTGATTATCCCTTGTCCAGTCTTCTACCTTTGCTCGAACTCAGTACAGCTTTTCACACCTGTTTCTATTGGCTTTTCCATTTGCTTCCTTTTATCAATTAGCTTTAATTGGCAAATAATTCTTAATCAAAGCTCATTATTTTCAACAGAAAAACTTAATTCCACCATTTTACTCACCTAAACTCGCTCTATTAGATCTGCTAGAAAACGGCATCCAGTCCTCCTTCCTACTCTCCCAACTCAATTTGGATCGCCAAGCAAAATAATTTGTTTGTGAATGCTCTTGCAATATATGATAAGGACACTCCTGACTGGTGGCACAACATAGCCAAGGCTGTTGGAAGAAAAAGTGTGGCGGAAGTAAGGAGGCAATATGCTATCCTTCCGAGTGACATCACACGAATTCATTCAGGCAAAGTCCCCCTTCCTAAATACAAGAGCAATGCGCGGGAGAGTATCAGTAATGAAGAGCAGAGATAACCTCCAAATGTCTCCTTTAACTAGTGGGAAGTTTTGGCAACCAAATTGCATAATAGTCATAACTTGCGTGAGGCTAATATTCATATATCCCCAGCCCTTGCATGCATGAGTTGATACATGATATTCTGCTCTCATCCACACCCAATTAATCATGAGAACCTAAACTGATTTTGTGAACGGAATTATTCTCATGCTGGTGCATCAGGGTAGGGTTATAGCTATAAAATGTAGAGCACCTAAAGGAATGTAATCATTGGTCTCTCCCATCCCATCAATGAGTACAAGATCACCAACATCATCTCCTTGCTAGGATAACAATCAATGACCAAAAGGCCCATCAACAATTGCCAGCTTATAATCTTATTTTACTAGCACAAACAGCTCAAGATCAATCCGTACTCCAAAATGCAATTTTCAAATTCTAAACCTTTAACCTCAATACCTAAAATTTGATATTATTTTTAACTTTTTATTACATTAATTTTTATTTTATTTTTATAAGTAACTTTTTATTAAAATTTTGAGTCATGATTCCCGGGGTTTTTTAACTTTTGCAAATGAGCTAATTAACCAAGTGGATTCAAGCTTCTTCACTTTATCTCTCTTTGCAATTTACAAACTGCAATAAGTTGCTACAACTAGAAAGCTAAGTTGATATTAGTCTAAACAATTTGTGTTATAAACTACCCACAAATCCGGAAAATAAGGGCTTACTGGTTTACTAACTTAGCTGCTTTTCTATACAGGCTGAAAGCATCTAAAGCTCTGTCGAAGGCTGATCGATAGCGGTAGAATGAACCACTTTTCAGAAGATTGATTTCATGTTTGCTAAATTTAATATTCCTATGTTGTACTAGTTAATGCTGAAGTGCGTAGGAAGCCCTAATGATCAATGATCCCTAGCAATAGAAAAGATTTAGCATATTAAATTTTGAAAGCAACCTTAATACCTTATTGTCAGATATCATGTATGTTGAGAGTGAGATTCTTAAGCTGACTCATATACCAGGAAGAGAAAATTCACTTATCAAAAAAAAAATATACCAGGAAGAGAAAATTCAGAGTTTTTTAAATTGAGCATTCAACAAGTCAAATCTATTCAGAAATTGGATTGGATTGGGTACGAACCTGAAACCTCTCCGGGGACATTTGGAATAACAGCAAATAGATGCTATTTAAAATCCTTATAATTCATAACCTCAAATGGATCAAGGATGTTTCTAACATTATAACAATCAAATTGAACGGTGGATTTAATTTTAATTTGGGGGCCCAATTGCCCAAATCCATATCAACAGAAACTGTTCAACACAAAAACAAAAGTTGGAATTTTTTTTGGATTACGTAGTTGTAAAATAAGGAGATCTAATAAAACCAAATGCCAAAGATCCTTTGTGTTGCCATTACGATAGTCTAAACTTGTACATCAAGCAGTTGATTAACACATGACAAAAAAAAAAATCACAGCTCTCTCTCTCTCTCCACGATTCCCCTCTCAAGCTCTCATCTCAAGCCAGGCGGGATGCTTCGCCGGCGACACAAAAAAATCACAGCTCTTTCTCCCTCCACGATTCCCCTCTCAAGCTAGGCGGGATGGTTAGGCGGCCGGCGAGATGGATCCAGCTTTGGCAACTGCGGCTTGTGCATGCCGAGGTGGAGATGGTCTAGCTGTGACGGTCTCGAACTCGGAAGAACCAAGTCGAAGAGTGCGTGAGATCGGTGAGAGCTCTTCGCCAGAAAAATCAATTTGGGGCTGATCGCCGGTGAGTGGGTTAGTTTCTGGGGATAAGTCGCCACGCTTGAGGAGGGGTGGCTCGGCCGTGGAGCGGCTAGCTTACGGCGGCTCAGATGGACAGGTTGGACGATGGTGAGGATGGGCTCGCGGTGGGCGACTGGCTGGTTTGCTGGAGAAACTCGATCGGGCTATCATCAGTCTCCATCGACTTCTTCTAGATGGAGCTCCGATCTGGCGACGGCTTGGCCCGTAAAGTCGACGACGAAGGAAAAGGAGATCACTTGGGACCGACGTTGTGGTCTTGGGGTTTAAAGCTTCGGATCAGGCAAAACTGGGTCGGATTTGTCATGCGGTGTTGTCATTGGGAATGGTTATTTGATGCGGCAAAGTTTCCGGCGGCGCCTCCAAGCAACTCAGAGATGAAATTCTTGGTTGGATGACGATTGGAATTTGATCTCTTTCTCATGTTACTGACTTGGCTTGGCCACCTAGGATTCGGAGGATAACTCGGAGGATTAAGTCGACAGATGTATCATTTCTCTTAACACATTTAATCAACTGTTTAAAAGAAAACTTAAGTATACATTTGGAATTACAGCAATTAGATGGTATCTAAAATCTTTATAATTCATAACCTCAACTCGATCAAGTATGTTGCTAACATTATAATAATCAAATTCTGGAAGCCTAAAGTTCCAATTGAACAGTGGATTTACTTTGGATTAAGTGGCCCAATTGCCCAAATCCATATCAACACAAGCTATTCAACAAAAAAACAAAAGTTTGAATATATAATAAGGAGATCTAATAGAACCAAAAGCCAAGATCCTAACTTTAGGTGTTGCCATTACATCCAAAAACAAAAACAATTGACGTTCATGTAGATAGTCTAAGCTTGATCATAAATACTGAACACTACTACATGCTTACATTAGATTAGGAGGTTGTCAACTTGAAGGGACACGGGGGGCACAAAAAATCGATAGAACCAAAAAACCGATCGATTTGATATTTGGTTCTATGTTTTTTAGAATTGGGACTAAACTGATTTTGTGAACCGAATTATTCTCATCCTGGTGCATCTGTGCAGCGCTTTAGCTACAAAATGTAAAGCACCTAAAGGAATGATATTAGTTTCTCCCATTCCCCTCGTTGAGTACAAGACCAACACCATCTCCTTGCTAGGAAAACAATCAATCACCAAAAGTCCCATCCACAATTGCCAGCTTATAATCTTATTTGTCCTACAATAAACAGTTCCATAAACAGTTCCAAAATGCAATTTTCAGATTCTACCTTTAACCTCAATACATAAAACTTGATATAAATTTGAACTGTTTATTACAATTTTGTTATAATTCCTAGAGTTTTTACTTTTGCAAATGAGCTGATTAACCATGTGGATTTAAATATATATATATATATATATATATATATATATATATATATATATATATATTCCAATTTACAAACTGAAGTTGCAACAACTTTGAGATTAGTTGATACTAATCTTAATTAGTTGGGGTATAAACTACGCATAGACCAGAAAAATAAGGGCTTGCTGGTTTACCAACTTAACTGCTTTTCTATACAGCAGGCCGAAGCATCTAAAGCTCTGACAAAGGCTGATCCATAGCAGTAGAATGAACCACTTTTCAGAAGATTAAAGATTTCATGTTTGCTAAATTTTTATTTATTTTTTGATAAGTACATGTTTGCTAAATTTAATTATTCCAATATTGTACTAGTTCATGCTGAAGGGTGTCTGGAGCTCTAATGATAAATGATCCCTACCAATAGAAAATATTTAGCATATTAAATTTGAAAGCACTTAAGAACCTTATTGTCAGAGATCATGTATGTTGAGAGTGAGATTCTGAAACTGACTTATACCAGGAAGAGAGAAAATTCTGAGTTCTTTAAGTTTAGCATTCCAAAAGTGTATCTATTCAGAAATTGGATTGGCTATGAACCTAGGATATTTGGAATAACAGCTAATAGAAGTTATCTAGAATCCTTATAATTCAAAACCTCAAATCGATCAAGGATGTCACTAGATTTATAATAATCAAATTCTGGAATTCTAAAGTTCCATTGAATGGTGAATTAACTTGGATTAAGAGGCTCAATTGCCCAAATCCATATCCGCAAAAAATATTCAATGCAAAATAAAGACATCTAATAGAACCAAATGCCAAGATCCAAACTTTTTGTTGTGCCATTACAGCCACAAACGAATCCAGTAAACCAACTTTTGTTCCATACATATGCAAGAAAAAAAAAAAAAAAAACACAAAACTAGAGGGAAGAAAAACAACTTAAGTATATTCCGAAAAAGAAAAAAACAATTATGTGCTATCATCATATTGATCAAAAATCATTTAATTAACTGAGGGAAACAATTAATCCAATCTGTAATCTGATAACTATATTCATCAAAGCTACAGAATCTAATTCAATGCAACTACATTGATCAATGCTGCAAAATCTAAATCAGGAACGAACTTAATAAATAGCCATTATTTATTTACTGTGTAGCCTGTTGTTGTGCTTGCCTGCAAAAACTGAAATCCATAAGTGAAACTGGCAGAAACAATTGACATTCATGTAGATAGTCTAAACTTCTAGATCAAACAGTTGATTAACACATTTAGCTAGGTTTAAAACTATAATTAGAATGTTGTTCCAGTGCCACATATACTGTAAAATTAAATCACTTGACCATCATATATACTTAACACACAATATATATATATATATATGTGCATTAGATTAGGTGGTTGTCAACTTGAAGGGACAAGAGGGGCATATAAGACTCCTTTTCAGCCAGTCTGCAATGCAGGGGAAATGGTATATATGAGAGCATGGCATGCGAGTGGCTCGCGATCCCATGAGCATCTCATTCTTACATATACCACAAAGTACTTGTTCCTCCTTCCCCTTATCATCATCCTCATCATTACCATCAATATTATTATTACCTTCAAATCTCAGAGTCTCTAATGGCTCGTGAAAGTACTCCCCCATAGCTTGTTCCAACAATGACAATTCCAACTCTTTTTCATACCTCCTGTCCAAGAAGGCTTTCTCTGTCGGTGCTGTGTCCCTCACTCTCCTTCCTATTCGCCTCTCCACCGAAGAAAATTCCAAATACGGATCTTTCGAATCCATCCGCGCACCATGGCAGAAACAAACTGATCAAGTTGTAACATGCGTTCTTCCTTCTCCTTTGCCCGGTCCATTGCTTCAATTTCATGGCGTGGTAAAATCACTCTTCTCTCAATGTCCACTGTCAACATCAATACCATCTTCCCACCTGCTGCAGATTCAGATTTGGAATATTCTATCATATTTCTTTTTTATAATCCTTTGTGTCGATATTATCAAGAACATAAAATAAATATTCCCATTCCAGCATCTTTTTCCAAGTCGATAATGGCAGTGTGTGACTAATGTCATCAATATAATCACTAGTGACTATGACAACACTAATCAGATATTCCAAACAAACACTTCTTTTCTACAACTTCATATTGATTAGTACTTTTTTCATAATCCCTTATCAGTAATCACTTAATGATGCGTTACAACAATGCCAAATGCAGCCCCAATTGAATGAAGAGGGGAATAAAAAAGAAGTGTATGTGTTCATTTTACTTTAGAATTATAGTTCATCAAGGATTGAACTATGTACCAGCAGAATAGAGCTGCTTCTTAACTAAACATTAAACGAAAAGTGTCGTATACATAAAGAAAATGTATATGTTCATTTTTCTTCAATATTTTTCTATATATTAACAAGTATTTCTTTCAAAAGTATTGGGGTATAGTTTATCCATTCCCAGCCGGGAGTATAGAGAAGTATCCGATTCGATTTGGTGTTTGAAAAAACCACGAATTCAGACCGTTTATCCTTTTTTGAGGATGTGGACTAGAGGATGATGAAGAAGAAGATGGTGACAAAGTTGAAGCAACATTACCACCAGAGATAGCAATAATCTCAGAATCTAACCACATATGAGCTAACACTTGGCAGATACGTCTTCAAGATCTGGACTCAGATTAGGAGAACCTGTAAAGCAATCCCAATGGTAATTTCCAGTATATAGCACTTCTCAGATAAGCACCTTTGTGCCGCAACCATGCATGCATCATCTCATGAGCCAAGATTGAACCAGTCAACAACCTGAAATTGGAAAAGTTTTTGAATGTCTAATCGGATTCAACATGTCTCATTTTCAATAAAATATTACTTTTCTCATCACATTAGCATACCGCACAAATCCATTTCTCATGTTATAAACAGAATCGTAAAACAAATATTTGCTAGAAAACACTTTTAAATGATCTAATACAATAAAGAATTATTTGAGAATTGTAAACAAAATAATACATGCTTAAATAGCATGAAATGGGGGAGTAAAGAACTTCCAAACTCAAAGGTCACTAAATTTATAATAATCAGATTTTGGAATCCTAAAGTTTCATTGAATGGTGGATTTAATTTGGATTAAGAGGCCCAATTACCCAAATCCATATCTGCAAAAAATATTCAATACAAAAACAACAGTTGAAAAATAAGGACATCTAATAGAACCAAATGCCAAGATCCTAACTTTTTTTGGTGCCATTACAGCAACAAACGAATCCAGTAAACCAACTTTTGTTCCATACATATGCAAGGAAAAAAAAAAGACACAAAACTAGAGGGAAGAAAAACAACTTATTTATATTCCAAAAAATTAAAAAAAAAAAAAAAAAAAAAAAAAAAAAAAAAAAACAATTATGTGCTATCATCATATTGATCAAAAATCATTTAATGGAACCAAGGGAAACAATTAATCCAATCTGTAATCTGATAATTATATTGATCAAAGCTACAAAATCTAATTCAGTGCAACTACATTGATCAATGCTACAAAATCTAATTCAGGAACGAACTGAATAAATAGCAATTATTTATTTACTGTATACCCTGTTATTGTGCTTGCCTGCAAAAACTGAAATCCATAAGTGAAAATGGCAGAAACAATTGACATTCATGTAGATAGTCTAAACTTATCAAACAAACAGTTGATTAACACATTTAGCTAGGTTTTAAAATATAATTAGAACATTGTTCCAGTGCCACATATACTGTAAAATTAAATCACTTGATCATATATACTCAACACTACATGATTACATTAGATTAGGTGGTTGTCAACTTGAAGGGACAAGAGGGGCACATAAGACTCCTTTTTAGCCAGTCTGCAATGCATCGGAAATGGTATATATGAGAGAATGGCATGCAAGTAGCTCGGGAAACATGTGTTTGGATAACGTAATTGTAAAATAAGGATGTCTAATAAAACCAAATGCCAAGATCCTAACTTTAAGTGTTGCCATTACGAAACAATTGACATTCACGTAGATAGTCTAAACATGTACATCAAACAGTTGATTAACACATTTAATCAACTGTTTAAAAAAAACTAAAGTATACATTTGGAATTACAGCAATTAGATGTTATCTAAAATCTTTATAATTCATAACCTCGAATTGATCAAGGATGTTGCTAACATTATAATTATCAGATTCTGGAAGGCTAAAGTTCCAATTGAACAGTGGATTTAATTTGGATTACGTGGCCCAATTGCCCAAATCCATATCAACACAAACAATTCAACAAAAAAACAAAAGTTCGAATTTTTTTGTTATTGTTTTGAACAAGTTAGTTGTAAAATAAGGAGATTTAATACAACCAAAAGCCAAGATCCTAACTTTAGGTGTTGCCATTACATCCAAAAACAAAAACAATTGACATTCATGTAGATAGTCTAAGCTTGATCATAAAAAACTAAACACTATTACATGCTTACATTAGATTAGGAGGTTGTCAACTTGAAGGGACACGAGGGGCACATAAGACTCCTTTTCAGCCAGTCTGCAATGCATCGGAAATGGTATATATGAGAGCATGGCATAAAAGTAGCTCGGGATCCAATGAGTATCTCATTCTTACATATACCACACAGAACTTGGTCCTCCTTCCCAATATTATTATTACCTTGAAATGTCAGTGTCTCTAATGGCTCCTGAAAGTAGTCACCCATAGCTTGTTCCAACAATGACAATTCCAACTCTTTTTCATACTTCCTGTCCAAGAAGGCTTTCTCTGTGGGCGCTGTGTCCCTCACTTCCCTTCCTATTCGCCTCTCCACCGAAGAAAAGTCCAAATACGGATCTTCGGAATCCGTCCGCACCATGGCAGAAACAAATTGATGGAGTTGTAACATACGTTCTTCCTTCTTCCTTAACCGGTCAATTGCTTCAATTTCATGGCGGGGTAAGATAACTCTTCTTTCAATGTCGACTGTCAAGCACAATAACAACTTTCGACCTGCTGCAGATTCAGATTGGGAAAAACGTGTATTCGCCGTGGAACGAACATCTTCCAAAAGATGAATGATTAGGTCGTGGACGTTCAAAAACTTGTTCTCCGGCATGTTGGGGTACTCAAAACATTGCAACGGGAAGGGAAGGTTCATTCGAGCGATGATTGTGGAGAGGGGATCATAGGTCATGGAGTGATATGGATGTAGTGATGTGAAATCTCCTATACTCTCTTTGGTTCTGCTTTTAAGGGCTCCATCTGATGAATGATAAGTCTGATTCACACCGAATTCGATATCCAGGTGATAGAGGCCGGCAGAGCCTCATGACCATCACCAACACATTCACTGATATAATTACACATACCTTCACTGATATATTTACCCATAGTAAAAGCATTAACGTAGAGATCTGCTGTTGTTGCCGCCGCGGCCATGGCCAAGGCCATAGCAGAAGAAGAAGAAGACGACCTAGGGCTAGGGGCTAGGGGCTAGGGTTAGGGCAGAAAGGGGATCTGGAGAGCGAATTGACTTGAAGAAAAATTACCTTGGTATATTAAGACGGTAAAACTAGATTAGCGAGTGCGTATTTATATCTTCTTGTTTTGTTTGTTTTTTTAGGTAAAAAGGTAAGCGAAATACTTAAATGTTTGTTTCCTAAATACTACTAAATTCCTAGTAATCCGGATTTATTAGTGTCAGTATTTCATCAAATCCTTTTTGGAAACTAATTCCGTAGTGTTTAAGACTGGGGTAGTAAAAGTTAAAGTAACCACCCTTCACATCTACAAGCTGTTAAAACCCTTGTCTAATGTGTAGGTATAGCATGGTATTACTGTTTAAGACTGGGGCCCTGGGGGTAGTGCCATTTTTAGTTTCGAAATATTTATAATATACAATTAATTGAGATTTTTTAATTTTAAATTTTAAAAATTATAAACATATTCTTAAAAAAATAATTCTCCAAATTATTAATATACAATTAATTGAGATTAATTAAACAAAAAGAAAAGAGTCTCTCATAATTATTAGGGTTAAGGTGTTGAGAAATAGGCCCGAACATTGAGATTAAGGCCAACAATAAAATAAAATAAGGTAGATCCAACAAAGTTTGATAAACCCAAACCCAATAGTGAGCAATTCAAAAGGCCCGTTGCTAAAGTATGGCTATTCAATTCCATCAGCAGCGCTAAACTCTAAACGCTAAATTAATAATTTTGTTTCCAAATCCAAGCAAACTTAACTAGCAAGAAATTAAGTTTATATAAAGAGCTAGAGGAGGCCAGTGCAGTGGAGTGAGAAATTTTCAGCGAGAGGGATAAAAAGATCAGAGGCTGGGGACGTCGTCAAATTCTTCCAGAATGTAAAAGCAACAAAAAGGCTACATATGCTTCTTTCCAGAAGAGAAGAATGTGTTTGGAGAAGAAGACATTTGAATTATCTACTCTATGTGGTGTTGAAGCTTGCATAGTTGTTTATGATCCCACACATGATGATGATGATCAGCAACCCTACATTTGGTCTAAAGATTCTGATGTAATTTGGCATATGTTCATATCGTACCAAGAATAATCTGATGAAAATCGTAAAAAGTAGACTCTTAATTTGTCTCACTTCTTTAAAGAAGACCCCAACAAGAAGAAAGAGCAGGCTGATCATCATCGTCAAGATAGTACTTCTTTAGCATTTGTAAAAGTTGAGGACAAGAAATGTGATGATGACGAGACCACCAAGTACCCTATTTGGGATGATCAATATAACAACATGTCCGAGGAACAATTGAAAGATTTAAGTATCAAATTGAAAAAAAAGTTTGAAGCCACCAAAACTAAGGTTCAATTCTTGAAGGATAGCTTTCTTGCTAGACAAGAAAACAATTCTAATTATTTTATGCCATCAATGAAGCCTATTATTGATCATGAGCAACGACCAATTTTTTTCTTCAACCAGAGTGATCATCTTGACATGGCATCTTGACATGGCAGCTCATTATCCCCCGTTGGGTCTGGATCTCTCAATGCCAAATTCCACGATGATGATGAATGATATTGAAGATTATGACATTAATGGACAAATTCCACGATGATGATGAATAATATTGAAGATTATGACATTAATGGACTTGGTGATATAACGTACGTAAACAATGTGATCATGGAGCCTCAGATGTGCTACTACGGTGATTCCACCATGCCATTGGACATGGAATGCCATGACATGATCTCAAGCATAAAGCAGAGTTTTGAAGGACATGAATTTTCTGATTTTGGTAATCTATTTTTTTGTTAGACATTGTTATCTACATTTGTAGATATTAGACAATTATATGTTGTAATATTAGACAATTATATGTTGTAGATGGATTTAATAAAATACGTTTAAATACAATTGTTATACATGGGTTTATTTTTATTTGAATGTTGTTCAATTTAAAGTAATATATTCAGCTAAATTACACGCAGATTCAATCCTAGTCTTTCAATGTTCCAGCAATAGAGCCTTTTCAAAAAAAAAAAAAATCAGAACTCTTCCTCAGTTTTAAATTTATGTACATAAAAGGCTCATCTGAAATTACTCTTCTGTCCTTCTTGTTGTTTTTATTCTTTGGATTAATTAGAATGACAACCCCTGAAATTTGCCATAATGATAATAGGAATTTATTTTAATCCAAACAGACCCTTAAAATGTTTAAAAAGACGAAATTGCCCATGAAAATTTTAGTCATTTTCATTGTGAAAAATAAAAACTCGTGAAAAGTCAATTTTGCCCCTATTCATTCTTCTTTTCCAAACAGCCGTTCCTCTTCTGCAACCCTAATTCTACCCCTGCATCTCTTTCTCTCACCACCACCATGGTTGATCTGTGCTATGGGTGGTATGAGAAGGAAGTGGATCGCTGCGATGGAAGTTGCATTGGACTAGGGATTGTAGAATTTTGTGAAGGAATTGGATTGATTTGTGGCTTCGTGGACCGCGGCGGAGGTGGCGACGAGGGGGTTGCTTGTCTGTTTGTTCTTTTTGCTCCTCTGTTTCTTCAAACTTTGGTCGACGGTGCTTTCCCGGCGTTTCAAGATTCTTAATTGATGATTATCAGCCCTTCATTGTGTATGTATATTTGTGTATTAATTCTTTTATGTATTTGTGTTTGCAATTGGTGTTATGGAGAAAGAAAAAAGGAATTTATTTAGAAGAAGGAAAGTTATTTTTTTGCGTGCTGATATTGTTATGGTTGATTTGTTTGGATTTTCTGATTCAGTAGACAAGGGGCCTATCATCACAAATTTTTCTTGGTTGTGTGCTTCCTTTTGAGAAACCTTGAACTTGTGATATAATTGACAGTAATTGATCAAGTTATAGTTCTATGCTTTAGGTGATATTTGATTGGTGCTAACTGGTGTTCTATGTCATGGATGTACTCTGTTTTTGGGGTTTGGAGATTATCTAATAGCGTTGATGCAGATGCATGCGAGAACGGTGAACACTGGGATGGGCAATTTAATTTACATCGTTACTATAATGCACTTGGCATCTTCATTCTTCTTCCATATTTCATCTTCTAGTTCTACAGGTTTGTTATATACATGTTCACATATATATATATTTGTACTAAAATATTCTCTCTCTCTTGGCACAAACAAGCTACATCCTCTCACTTTTGCCCTCCTCTGCAGATTCTTCCTCCTTGGCTTTCCTTGTGTATGTGAAACTTAGAACGCACTCACATTCATATGGATCTCCAGTTTGTTCGAATTGATAATATTGTTCTATTTAATTATATTGAAGCATTGTTATCCAAAAAAAAAAAAAGTATAATTGAAGAAAAGAAAATTGAATTTGTTGCAGGAAATGCTTGGAGATATTTGGATATGCAGGCATCAACTACATCTCTCCAAGTCTGGCAGCCGCATTGGGCAACCTTACACCAGTTTTTACATTCATGCTTGCTATTATTTTCAGGTACTAAGCTCTAAGGAGTAAATTTGTCAATTGTAATTGTTTATAAATAATAGTAACTAGAAAAATTATATATCAACAACAACAACAACAAAATTAATGCTTGTGGTCGGTGGTTATGTCAATGTAGTAGTTAATTATATATTGGATTATGGGTCTACATGCTTCTGTTTAATATAAATTTGATACCATTTTCAGCTTTTATTACATTCTTCTAAGATTGATTATGTCAATATATTAGTTCATAATCCCCTCTCTAGTTTATTAATCAGGAAATTAATTCAGTAGTCTTTCGATTTAACAATTGAGACATGTTCTCATGGTAAGAAGCAAGAGCAACATTATAAAATATTCAATAATATTGGACTCTAGCCTAAATGGTGTAACATCTCCCGCCCTTTGGAGAGGCTTAGTTTTTGAGCCTACATTGAAACAAAAATATATACTGAGTGTGTGTTTGCTTGAACTTTTTGAAACATAGACAAAATTATATAGCGTGTGTTTGCTTGAACTTTTGAAATATATATATATATATAAAGTAACATCAGAAAAAAAAAAAAAAAAAAAAAAAAAAAAAAAAAAAAAAAAAAAAAAAATGTAACATCATAAAATATTCTATATATGTTGGGTTGTAGGATGCAAAATTACATTAATAACCTGGTCAGTGTTCTTTGTTCAGCAGTAAAAGACGCGCGGGGCTACTTTATGTCCAATAATTGAGGGGACTTGTCCTACCCATGATTCCACGAATTTTATTTCCTCTTACTTATTACTTTATTAGATTTTATGCCCTACTTTTAATTTTTTACACATCCAATCAAATCAACTAGTTATGATTCAGTTCTCACCTAAACTCGTGCTGCACAAAGTAATGTAGTTTGTCTTTCCCCATTTAATGTCTTTTTTATGCTATTTTACATCAAAGATAAATCTTGATCTAACTAGCAAATTCATGTAGTTGAGTTTTTCTGTTCTAAAGTGTACCGTGCTAAAAAAAATGGAAATACAGAATAATTTTACCGTGTAGCTTGCAATGTTTCAACTTGAACAGTTTACTGTTGTATGTGCGTTGTTTAGCATAGGTTAGCAAACTAATCACGAGATTATCATGTTGATAAATATATAATGTTCAATATATATTTTTTTCTATGCATAGATTACGTATAATATGATCAGATAATTGGTGGCATCATTGTAATTTTCTTCCTCTTAAGACAATACATAAACACTCTTTTTAATGCACTGCAGCAAGTATATATGCATAATTCAATTTTTCCAAAAACATGTTTCAATTTTTAGGGTGGAGAAGATAGACATAAGGAGCTCAAGCAGTCAAGCAAAATCAGTGGGAACCATTGTAGCAGCATTAGGAGCACTCATTGTGACACTTTACAATGGTCCACCCATCTATTTTGCAGTTACTAAGTGGCTTGTAGTTGAAGAAAGTCATGCTCATCACTGCATCATTTAGAGATGACAATGGATGGAAAGAAACAATATGTGGCTGTTCTTCTGGTTCAGTCCATATATTCTGTAATGTTTTTGCTCTCCAAGGCTGCATTCAATGTTGGTATGAACACTTTCGTGTTCGTCTTCTATAGACAAGCTGCTGCCACAGTTTTCTTAGCCCCTTTTGCATTTTTCTTTGGAAGGTGTATATACTATTATCAATAACCTTCTTGAATTGTTTCGATTAATTCCTAAGCAAAAATGCACCATTGTTATCCTTGGTGACCCGCTGCAAGATCTTTATGTTTTCTCTGTGTGGGTATGCTTTTAAATTTTCATAAAATTACTTTTAATTTGTTTGTTTGTTTATTTTTACCCTCGAAGAAATGTTCCTTTTACACCCGTTACTAATCTACGTGTGGTGTAAGAATGAATAAATTTTAAACATATATGTTGAGTATTGGTCTTAATTATTTGCTTTTAGGCGGATTAGTTTGAGCTTGAATTTCTATGGTGTGGCTCTTACAAATACATCTGCAAGTTTGGCTGCTGCAACTAAAAACTGCCTTCCGGTTATAACTTTCTTCCTTGCAGTTTTGCTCAGGTAGATATATCTTATCTACTCATTCTTTTTCTTAATTTCTCTCTTTAATTAATGTTTCATTTACATAATGTATTGTTCAGAATCAAGGATGGTACAATTTGGATGTGAGTTATCGCCAAGCAAAGAGCTATGTTATTTTTTTCTCCTTTTCTTATAGATAAATATTCAGGAATGAACCCTTAACCGCTCTTTTGGAGTGGAGGACTCAATCAAAGATATGTAATTGGCCGAACAGTCAAAACGTTTTGTGAAACTCACATTGGCATTAATTAATGCTACCTAAAATCTGTCCTGCACATGATTGTTGCATAAAGTCGAGTCTCATTTTTGTGAGGCTCCTTCATCAAGTCATTTTCATTTGCATTTGCATTTGCATTTGCATTCGCATTCAATACAGAATATGATACTTTCCAATACCAATATTCATATGTTACATCAGAAAACACCATGTGATTCACACATAAACTGAACTTCACATTTTTTTTTTCAAGATATTTATTTCATTATGATTGATCCTATTCACACTTTGGTGCTCTACGTCCCTTTCTCTCCACACGCATAGAAGAAAGAACCAAATATAGTGAGAGAAATAGAAGAGAACAGAAGAAACCCTAAAGCCCAAATTTCAAGCAATTAAAAACCCTAATTCCATTCAATGTTAGGTCAGAAATGGTAATTTAACTTAGGGTTCTTGAAGCCATGTATATAGTATACCTAGATGAGAGAATATCCTTGGAGTTGTCTATGCACAACATGTATTGAAAACCTTAATTTTATGTGAGTAAACTAGTAAAGATTGATGACAGAATTTTCAATTACCAAATTTAATTTTTGTGAGTGGGCTGGTGCCCCCACCATATGATGTCACTTTATGACGTCATGTGCTTGTTCCCACCACCCCCTCAAACATAAATTGAATTATGCCAATTTGGTCCCTAAATCAATACTCGTTGATAAATGTATTTTTACAC